AGATCTTCCAATTTCTCTCCCAAGGTGCCAAACGTCTTTGGGATCATCTCCTCCTGAGAATAAATTTCTGCCAACAGATTCATTACACTGCGACACAATAAAGACACATCAAGAAATATTCAAAAAATCCTTAGGATGTCACAAAATTATAACAATTGTCAAACCGGAGGCACACAAATACAGGGGCCTTGCAACAATCTAGAACCTAGCCATACAACCAAATATTTAAAAGCAATATCTCAATACCCAACATATACTAAAAAATGCAACAAATGGTATGTTAAATGATGAGAATTTCAAGTTTCCATACATAACTTAAGTAATCAAATTTTTGTAAGCTGAAATTTTGTATCTAGTGAATAGAGTTTGATAAGGACATAAAACAACAGAAATACAAATTGTCAAAAAGAAAAAGGTGAAAGGTAAAGCAACACTATAAATATCCAATAACTGAACTCGTAAAATTGATAGAACGCAACTGCACAATGTCACAAAAGACTATTCAGTCTCATGAACTAAAAATTAGACTGTTAACTACAAAATTCTGTTTTTTATTCTTGAACAATAAAAAAAAAAGTTTCATTTCATCAATCCCAGCCACCAAAAACAACCACAAAGAAAAACCCAGGAATCACCACAGCTGGCCCCACCATTCGTACCCCACACGCAAAAAATAAATAAATAAATAATCATTGCCGAGTTGATCAAAAAAGAAGCTACAAATCAACTAATAAGTACATCAAGCTATGTATTGCAGTAATACAATAATTTGGACACATTATATTGGAGGAAAGTAGTCAAACTGCAATGAACAATTCTCTTAAGTTAAAAGAGTCCAACAAAGACAGCACTTGACAGTTGTTTCTAACAAAGATACCTAGATGGCTGCTTCACCAAGTAAAGTGAGATGTCTAAAAATTGGCTCCTGGTATAAAGAAGTAAAGTAACACTCGTCATTTGAGAGTCTCAAGTAATTGCAATGTGAAGAATTGAATGATAAGTATAGCACTATTTAAACAAACATGTAAACCAACAGATTACAGAACCATAAGAGTTCTGGAAATGGATTGAAATTGATCTAGCAGGTCTTTTGGTTTCTCTAGAAGTTTCTCAACGAAACGGACATTTGGTTACTCAATAGTCAATAAATATCCAAAGCCTCCTAACCCAACAGTAGCGTGGATGAGAAATATATTAAAACAGTCTGAAATAGATCCTGCATAAGTTTATAAAATTATAAACCCCAATTCATCTAAACACATCTGAAGCTTATTTATTATAGAAAGTTCTATCCAATTCTGTTCTCTATGAAGGATCTTAGAATGGATCTCAGATAATAGTGATCATCCCGTTCATAGAACAACTTGTAGGCTGGGATCTTAGGTACAAACTGACATGCGTGAACTGCATCCATTAATGAGGTGATTTCTGGAGGTTAAAGAGAGCTATTATCTTAGCATTCCCATAAAAGACAAACTATAACTTCAATATAAATGCTGATAAAGACAAGTTAAAGATGATGAATCCATCAAATAATAAACAGGGTATATTCTGAAGAAGTCCATCTCAGCTACACAGAAGTGAAAGAAATTTATCATACGGATCTTGTCAACGATCATGTTCTGTAGCAGTAACTATATAACAGAGACATCAACTGCAGAACTATGACAGCTGGCTTTCAAGCTAATCCCTACTATCTTAAAAGAGGCAACCCACCGTTCACTGTTCATTTGTGAAGCTTTTTTTTAATCCCATTTTATCCCTACTATCTTAAAAGAGGCAAATCCAAGCTTTAAGGGTAAAATTGACTTCCTTCTACCCATACCCACAATTGTTGTCTTTGAATCTCTTCTTGCTTCTTGGGCAATCCACCGTTATCACGACCCCGTTCACTTGCGGGAAATCAAACGATCACCTCCCCTACCCCCTCGACCCCCACGATGACTGGACAAGCCGATCCCCATTTCGAAGCGGCAAATCATTTGCATAATAACAATAAATAAATAAATAAATTATGAAAAAATATATTATCCCCACACTAATGGTTTTCCGCTAAATTTGAAGTTTGCTCAACAAGGTGGTATTCTGATGGTCTCGATAAAACTTTAGCAATACAACTTGACAAAGTTTTATTCCAGAGTTAATGATTATGCAGGCACTTGAATATTTTTCACTAAACTTTCTTTCTTATTCAGTGGGTACAATAAATATTTTGGTACAAAGCACAAATATGAATTGTCAAACGTTAGCAAGTTTAGAAAGATTAATATTGTCTCATTAATTTCTTCCTTGGAAAAAAATTTGGCTACTAAATACTTTTCATTTAAATCTTACTAGAATTTTATCATTATGAAATTTTACTAATTATTATGTTAGATAAAAACTTACTGAACTTTCACAATAATTTAGTTTTCCATTAATATTTGATACACTAACATTAACTTAAAAATACCAAAGCCCGTACATTGTACGGGCATAGTACTAGTATGATTAGAATTTACCAATCTATGACTATTAGAGAACTTATTCTTTTAGCTGCTTTGAAACATGTTACAGGAGAGAAGACTCATTCCCTATAAAAGATGCAAGGAGTTCCTTATCAACAACATCCATATAGACAATCAAGATTGCATATTAGAACGATAGTCAATGGCAAGAACTTTAATATTAAACCAAACAAAATATTGTGCAAGCAAAGCAATCTAAATTTCATACTGCATTACACTCCATGCAATTAAAAGGCAAAAGTTAATCTGAGTAACCAAAACACAACAATACAAAGCAAAGTAGCGAGTGAAATGAATATTAACAGAACCAGAATCACTGTAAATAAATAAAAATAAAAATTACACAAACAGAAAACAGTAAATTTATTGCATCAAAAAAATAGTACCTGTCGCACGGCAATTAAATATTTAATACCCAGAAGACTCCCATGGCGGATCTCCCATTCTGGTCTACACTGAAAGAAGCAGATGTAATAATTAAAAAGATATTGCAATAAAAAAACAAAGATTATCCTCAAAAGACCATCTCTCTTTTATGGTGTGAAAAAATTCCTACTCAATATTTACCTGCATCAGCAACAAAATATTTAGAGTCTCATGAACTGATGTAGGGTGCATGTACTTGAGGACAGCACCCAACGCTTGCACACAGGTTTCCCTGACTGGCGCAACAACCTGATCAGAGACATAGTCTCCAAAACTGTACAGATAGAAGAAATTCAACAACAGATTAGGCAAAGTACAAGGAGATATTGTCTATAGTAAAACTTCGTTATAATTATCACTCAAGAATCAATAGAATGCGATTGTAAGATTACACCCATCCAACAAAGTTAATTCAGATATAAATTAAATGTTGAAACCAAATTATTGACATAAAAATGAAAAATACATCCAAAGTAAGAAAATATCTTTTCTACAAGTCATTGGTACTTCTCTGGCTCACTTCTCCGGTTTCAACTACACTAGTTACCTTTGAAATAAACAAAAAGCTATGAATGGTTTATATAATTAAACAAGATCATACCGGTCCAGGGACAAGACACACAAGAAACGAATTGTACAATCTTGCAGAAATTCAGAATTTCTCAGCCAGAAATTTCTAGTCATTTTAACCAAGTTCATCAGCTCGGCATTTTCAGCAAAATTTTCAAGCATGTTCTTCTCTATTGAATCCGTGTCTTCAGTACAACTCCTTGCCTCTGTTAGATGAATATTAGAATGGCATGTGCTATAAATGTGAGGTTCAAGTTCCACCTTAATGGAACTAACATTAATTTCACCATTTAATTGCATACGAGGTATGTTTCCTCTGTCTTCAACTTTAGCACAAATGTCCAAATCTCCATCACTAGTGGCAGTGGTTGTTATATCTGTCATTGGACATGAAACATTTTCCAACCTTGGTCACATCAAAACTGGCTCCAAAGCTTCTAGCAGAGCTAATAGATTCAAATCAAGTTCCCTCTCTCTCTTCACTGTATTTTCATCATCTTTAGCTTTCAAATAAGAAACTGATGCAGCCTTGCAGCTCATTTGAGACAGAATTCCTGCACTAGCACCTTGATAGGTCAATATCTCTCTCGGGGCCATGATACTGCCATGGCGAACCTCCCAAACTGAGAACACAAAATTAGAGAAATTAATTTCTCATGAGAATTATGAAAAAAAGTTCAAATGCAGGAAAGTCAAAATATTATCTATACCCAGGTCAAACATATCAACAAGGAGTTGTTCAACAAAAGATTGAAAAGGCCAACCCCCATCTCCATCATTCTCAAAGCCTTCTTCATCAGAAACACCATCTCCAAGTTGCTGCATCAAAAAGTACATAAAATTTTTGCATTAGAAAGATCAGATAAGAATGTAAAATATAAGGCAACAAAAAAATGATTCCTTAACATCCACAAAGAAGAAGAAATCAAACATGTCTAACTACAGAAACAAAATAATAAAAACATTCCGAACACGCATCATAATTCATGGATAACAAATTATTCAGCAAATGGTAAAGGGCCAAGTTGATGGAGTATGCAGGACTTTAACAAAGAATTATAACCAAAATATAGTAATATAAATGAGAGAAAAATCAAGAAGAAACAGCACTCAAAAAAAAAGGAAAAGAAGAAGAACACTGCATCAGCACCTCCATAAACAGACAGCCTCATAAAAAACTACATTTGTGAAGATCAGAATGTACTCAAACAAGTGGATCTCAACACACCATATGCATTACAACATGTGAAGGTTCGATTCTGACTATCTGAATCGAAGAAAAGTTTGATCCATTAACTCGTAAATATTGCTGAAGACCTGTTCATCCTTTTTAGCACATACAAGAACTAACAAGCATAGGAAAAAACGATAAACAATTATGACTAATTTGTCCTGTGGCGCCAACTAATCCAATAATGCGATCCGGGGATCTAAGTAAGGTGGCTTTCATTTAACTGCTATTAATCTCAATTTTAATCAGCTGGAAGACAAATCAGTAAGGACGTCTCCTTGTATGATACAATGCGTGTATAAAATGTAACCATCTGGCCATATGCCCATATTCATTAAGCAAAATGTATGACACAGCTCGTAAGTGGAAACAAAAGATAAATCCAGGTAATCTCATAGTTGCAAATGTGAAATTCTCTACGCATTTATGTTATGAATTAGAGAATATATTGAGAGACCTGAAAGGCATCAATAAATAATAAATATAGCTCGTGATCAGAATTCCACTAATACCATGTGCATAGCATGCTCCAGGAAAACATACTAAAATGGAATAAATAGGCTGACCAGAACCATGTCTAGATCATACTGTAAACAAGAGTTTTCCTATTTCCAGTATGAAACATGTTAACAATCTGAGCCTACAACTGAAGAATCAGTTATCAATAACTTTTAAAGGACGTGACTATTTTATTCACTACATCACTAAGAAACAGATAGTACTGTTGAGGCCTTAAAATTCAGTATCAGGGGATTGCTGATTATTTGACTTATGGATACAAATACTTAGTTGTAAAATTTGATACAACACTCACCCAATCGACGCAGAAGATTCTGCTTTTGTCGAGCCAATCTTTCCAGAGAATTCTTGCTGTTTTCACTTGCTATATCGTACTCCTAAAACGAAGTCAATTGAAAAATCAAGTGCACGCACAATATTACATACAAATCTAACCTGCACTCGTTCCATCAAGAATCAATAAGCTATGGACACCAACGAACATGTGAACATAGAAATCCTCCCCTTTCCCCGCCAAAGGCAGGGTAGTAATAAATTTTGAAGTTCGTGAGTTATCTTGAATTTCATTTGCTGAACTAAAGAATAAAGGTTCTCTATTTAAATTCTCAGTCTGATTTTGATTGCTGACTAAGAAACAAGGTAATGAATGATCAAGTTCAAGTGGCTTTCAGGAACATGATATATTTCAAGAGAAGCATTTCGAGATAACATCTAGCAACTTTTCTATAGCGTGTTCTTACAATAGGAGGGATTTTAAAGCCAATAAATGTGACGTAAAATGGAGTACGCATGTAGAAGTCATGATAAAGTGTAAATTCCTAAGAAGTCCTACTAACTTGACATTACAAATCATTTTCGAAGGTCTATGCTCTCTTAAAAGCGAAAGAAAATTCACAACAGTTTATCAGTTTCTAACGACTACTAGCACTTAAAATAACATAAGCATAAACACATAAAAGAGCCAGAAAACAAAAACTGAAGGCATTAGACAAAAGGGAAGTACACATACCATACCAGCACATCACCAATTGGGACATTGGATACATAAAACAACAGAATTCAAAACCAACTTTTACCCATTGTAAGGGCTTTCATGGTGGGGGTAGTAGCTCTACCACGCATTTGGAAGTGGAAATTGCAGTAGAAGTGGTAGCCTGGTAGATTGCATTGGAACTTTAACAGAATTTAATGGGGATGGCGGTGATTTAGGAATCTCTTTTCTTTCTCCTGTTTAATTCTTGAAATATAATTTCTTGGAGAATGAGAGGGAATTGCAGTGGAAGGGTGATTACGGTCATGGTGTTCTTGTATTCCAAGGCTTGGAGATGCCACTAATCTTCAATTTTCTTCTCTGTTTTGTCTTTCTGTTTTTAAGTATAATCTAGATTCTAGGGCTAATCTTCTATTAGTCGTGAACTGTGATTTAATGATGGCAGTGCTCTATTCGTCACAGGTTGCCAGGAAAATGCCATTGCAAAAGAAAGATGACCAGCTTTTCTTGTGCCAAGTCAGTGGGGTACAGTCCATATTTGAGATGGAAGATCGGCAAGCATGCTTATTAGCGAATAAATCATTCGATGTGGAAATCTAGATAGGTGGGGAGCAAGTATGCTTAGGACCCGTTTGGTAGTGTAAAGCCAAAAGCTACTTGAAAAGAGGTTAAGAAACTGCTTCTAAAAATTTTTTTTGGAAGTTTTTTTTTTTTATCTTGCTAGGAAAGAGAAAGATAGCCTAAATTAGATTACTCGAGAAGCTCCTCTACAAGTAACAAAAGCAGAAGCCCTTCAAACGGGACTTTTATAATGAATAAATCATTCGGCGTGAAAATCCATATTCCACACAAGCGCTAATATGTTTAGTTACATTGACAAACTCAAAGTTTGTGTATATTTATATATATCACTTAGGGTTTAGGAATATAATTTTTATTAAGAAACTATTCAATCGAAATAAATGTAAGAAACAAAATATATAACTAAAATGCTATTCATAAATGAAAAAAAAGTGCAACATATTTTCAAAAATTTGAAGGAAGGTACTTTAGAGGGAAGAAGGTAGTTCAGTTTACAATTTTTAACATAACTTCACATTATTTGATAGTTTTAAGAAGTTAAGTAATTTAAAAAAGTAAGACATGGAGGGAGACTAAAGTAAATTATCGAAGTTCCTCCATATATATAATATATTATTGATCTTCTACGATAAAAACTACAATCATATTGAAGTGCGGATGCCATGTGCAACGTAATTGAAGACAAGCAATAAAAATACGATACTATTCCAAAGTCATTAATACTGAGTAGCGAATCTCCAGAGTTTCATAAATCATTAATCCTTTGGCAGAGAAATCTTCATTGCTTGAGCAATTATCATAGTTTCACTAAAACGAGGAGTTCAGGATACTAAACCATGGATAACATCAGTAAGATGTTAACTCATCCATCGTATGATAAACATTAATCACAGCTACAGTATGAGAAGAAATAAATCAAACTCAAGTGATTTTGAAGACAAGAAGAAATAAATCAAACTCAAGTGATTTTGAAGACAAATAGCAAAAAACTTTTTTTTATTTATTTATTATAGGATGAACCAATGTGAACGAGTGTAAGCTTTGTTGCCTGAACAAGATTGGTGCTATCTTTAAACCAATGCCTCTGACACATTTCCTGCTTTGTTTGCAAAATAAAGAAACTCACACGCCAAAAGCCACACAATATTTCTCCTCCTATCACAATTTGTATTGTACAAGGAAAAACGCTCAAATGGAGTTGTTATACTTTCACTAAATAAAGTGAGATATTTACTAATTTTTCTCGTAGATTGAGGGTTGCACCACCCCAACCAAACAAAAGAAAAATAGTAATCATGTCAGCGGATCCATATGATGATAATAATTCAGCGGAAGAAACTGAAAGCAAACACAAAATAAGTTGCAAAGAGTAGATAAACAAAATATATCTGTTAATAGACATAGAATAGATGGATGTCCAATCATGTATGAAATTCTGCAAAGAAATATATTCTTTTGCTTTTTGGGCCTAGGGAGATAGATGGAAGGAAAGTACCTGTCCACCGGATGCTACCAAAGCCACAAATTCCAACACCTTGTTTAGATCAAAACTGTGGAAGTTGAATTTTCCTCAGAAGAATAATCTAAACAACTTGGACAGTTTAATATACTCGAGGAATGCCATCATGCAAGAAGTATGACCGACCAGTAAAATGAAAGCAAGTATAGTGTATATGATATTATACACAGAAAATGGAAGGAAAAAAACCTTCTAAATGAAGTGCCTGCTGAATTTTCAGGATTGCGGTTAGGCCAAGTCAAGATGTCGGTGAAGGTGCTCGAAATCCCAGCTTCTGAAATTTTCATTTCAAAACTATTAGAGAGCTCAGTCAAAGATGTATGTTTTACATTCTCAGCAATAGCTCCTATAGCATGAGCTGCAGCAACCCTGGTATCCACTTTTTACTGTGCAGATATTGGGACACCTGCATGTTATGAATGAAAGGTCAAACGTAGGAATTTAAACTGGACTTGTACTACACTCTACGTAGTAAACAAAATTCACTAGGTACATTAGATTAGAGTTGATCTGGAGCCTGTTCAATGACATTATCATTCCAGTGGACCATTATCCAATAAAACTATTGTGCAAAACAACATTATTACACCAAAATACTATGGTAAATTACACTAATAAGTGTCAAATATACTCAATAAAATACTCTAAAAGACTCGATGCCTCTATGTGAGAGGTTCTCTCATTATATAGGACCAAAAGAACAACTAAATAAGGAAGCAATAAATTACAATATTAATTAATGGTAAAAACAATCTATCTATATATAATCGCAATATTCGATGATCTTCAGAATCTTATTCAATCTTCCTGATCTTCGGAATCTTATTCAATCTTCTTTGACATCCCCCTTCAAATTGATACTGGTAAAAGCATCAATTTGCAATCATGAATTGACGACGATGACAATACTTGAGCCTACTAAGAAGAAATCCAAAACAAAAAATAACCAACTACGAAAATTACTGACGACGAGAAACCAAGAACAAAGAACTACTCAAAAACCACTCCAAGAATGCTCTAAAGAAATAACTAGAAACAACGAGAAACCACGAGAAACGACGAGAAACCACGAGAAACACCGAATGCTCGCACCACACTGGATAACCAGAGAAGAGTCATACGTTGACAAAAATTCAGTCAACCGTGGACGACCAGAAGAAACTCACACCTGAAAGGTTGAGTTGTGACCAAAGAGAATCGAAATGTCGGGAGAACTGAGTCGAACACGAAAAATGTGCTCCAACAAAAGTCTAACGCTAAAACACCGGAAGATGATCCTCCTATGAGAATCCAAAACCACACAACGAGTTTTTTTTTTTTTCGACCCACAATAAAATCAATCAATTAACCATAAAATGAATCAACCCAATCATCCACAACCCAATAGCCATACCACAGTACATGCCCATTCCAGAAATCCAGCCTGTTGACAACCACATGATACAAATATATCCACATGCACAAAACCAATGACACTGGTGAAACCAAGCCACAAACTCATCAATCAACCGAAATCCTAAACCTTAGCCTAATACACCTCATAGATCTAGCCCAAAAGAAATTAGGCAACCAAATTAAATCAACAAGAACCCAACCCAATCAATTAAATTAGATACATGCCCAACAACTAAAGCAACAGTCCAATCAATGAGATTAGACCCAGGCCCAGCAACTTATTCACTAAACTAACAACCTAATTACTGAAATTCAGCCCAATCAAAACCCAACCAATTAATTAACCCAAATCAATTCCACTCAACCCATAAACTGGCCCAATTACCTAAACAGCCCAATCAATTTATCCAGACTAAACCAATGGCCCAAAAAATTAAAACACATTGCCACTCACAAAGGCGATGCACAATATAGGCGACGGAAGAGGCGCGATGTAGAGACGGGAGAAGAAACTCCAACCAAACTTAAAAGATGTGCCGGACAGAAAATCATCTGTGTCCCCGAAAAATTGACTCATCTGCCCTTCACATCCAAAACCGTAGGAGAAATATACGCAGTACAGCTGGAAGCCTTTTTTTTTTAATGCCTCCCATCCTGTCAATGGATTGATTGCGTGAAATAGCAGTTTACCGGGAACAAAGGAGAAGACACAGCTCGAGAATTTAATTTGCCGTATAGGGGCAGGCAGCGTGCTATCTAAAAGTGTAGATTCTGTTCTCCACAGGCAGCAGGCTGAGCGTGAAAGAGAAAGATGCTTTGGGGTTAAGAGGGATTTATTTTGGAAAAAAATTGTTTAAATTCCTTAAATTTTTACAGTTTCACCAACGAGGCAAACACAAGAAGAATGTTTTTTTTAATCGTTACGAGAACAGAGTTTGAAAGCCTCACAGGAAAAAGAAAACATTGACTCAATTGGATGCGGACGGGACGAGCCCACCTGAGAAAGCCCTATCAAGAAAACGAAAGAAAAATTTAAAAATTTGGCTCTGATACCATGTTAAATATACTCAATAAAAGACTCGATGCCTCTATGTGAGAGGTTTTCTCATTATATAGGACCAAAAGAACATGTATGTTTTACATTCTCAGCAATAGCTCCTAGAGCATGAGCTGCAGCAACCCTGGTATCCACTTTTTACTGTGCAGATATTGGGACACCTGCATGTTATGAATGAAAGGTCAAACGTAGGAATTTAAACTGGACTTGTGCTACACTCTACGTAATAAACAAAATTCACTAGGTACATTAGATCAAAGTTGATCTGGAGCCTGTTCAATGACACTATCATTCCAGTGGACCATTATCCAATAAAACTATTGTACAAAACAACATTATGACACCAAAATACTATAGTAAATTACACTAATAAGAACTGAATGACATGATTTTTGCTCCAGTGATTCAATGAAATTCGGCTACCAAATATAAACAAGAAAGAGAGCAGAATGTATGACCAAAACATGTTATAGAGTGAAACCAGTACTCGGAGAACTAAAACAATCTTAGGGGTAAAACCATACCTTGCTCAACAGAGAATTCAGGTCCTGAGGATGTGATTTGGCAATTTCCCCTATCTGCCTGGCTGCAGTAAACCTCGTCACTTGGGTCGAAACCATTTAGCTTTTGTTGACATTGAAATTTGTATAAACGATATTCAAGCCAAATTAAAGAAAGAAACATGGATTTCTTATTGAAATGACCAAGAGTTTACAAGAATATGATACAATCTATCTCTTTGCATAGTAATAGGAGATATTGTAAACATGGGAATGTGCTAAGAGTTTGTATATGCTTGTATTTACGTTTTTTTTTCTCTCCCTTCCTTTTGGGCTTGGGATCCCTATTTATAGGGAAAATATGCATACATGCTGGACATTCTGTCTTTTCACTGGAATTCCGAGCTGAAGAAGTATAGTGGCTAGTGCGATAAGAATGGTTGCCGAGCTGGATTCTGTCAGATTACTTAGAGTATTAATTAAAAGTGGACCCCAGTAATTAATGCATTTCTTAGTGGGGGATGCTAACACTTCTGATTAGAAGATTATGTGGGCGCTGATGTAAGATCTCTCCAACTGCATTTCTGTGATTGGTGGCTCATATATCCTGTCAGAGATTCTCAATCATTATATACTTCCTTGCCTTAAAAGACTACACAAGCTTCTCGCAGAAGGTATCTACCTCCGAGCTGACCTCACATGACCGAGCTCAACATATGTTCTGCTAATGACATGGATCAATTCGACCTTAATCACCTCGGAGGTCGGTGTTAACAGCTTTCATTAAAGAGACAACAATATGCCGCACAAACACCAATTGACACCAAAAACACAAAATAAGAAGAAAAGAAGAAAGAATCTGAAGTATCATCCTCATATGTATACTTGCCCACTATATACCAAAATTACTTATAACAGGATAAAGTAAAAAGATTGAAATATTTACAAGTTCAATGCAAGGACACATGATCATTAATGCGTTCATGCCTTTCTACTAAAGAGATGTTGACATTCACAACAAATAACCATATAGATACTTACAAGACACCAATTGACACCAAAAACACAATTGTCGAACCTATAGGGATTGTAATTTAATTCATACTAAGTATTGTACTTTATCTAGAAAATTGAATCTAAAATCAATGTTTCTACACTAAATTAACGTGGATGTGTGATAATTCAAGTAAAAAAAGGGCAAATTATAGGAGAGTTATCAATATGAGAAGGCATATGGATTGATTTCACCTCACCATCAATAAAGTTTTTCAACTTCTATAGTTACTTCTATCAATTTTTCTTGAATTTATAGGCGAGAACCTTATGTTAATTCTATTCCCTCTCTCGAGTGCTGAATATAACCTATTTTTATATTTTAATTCTAATATCTCTATTCCGAATTAACACTATAGAAATTATATGCGCATGGTTCTTAAATGGTATAAGCCTCAAAGATTTTATATTTTCTTTCGAAATCTACAAAATCTAGGTTATGTTATTCTTAGATCGCGCATAAATCTCCTTATCTCGGTACCGAAATTTAAGGCATCAAATCATTCAATTATTGATCAGGTAATTGAAAGTATTGTGCAAGAATCAACACAAATAAATTAACGAAAAAATCAAACCAAATAACTATATTAGAATCCAAACATGTATCAAGTTTAGTAACATCATACCCTAGATAATAAAATTAGTTCATGAATACAAGAAACAACATATAAAAATCTAAAATAAAGAACATGGAGGAGAAAAGAATAAGAAAAAATGTTTTGACACTTGAATTCTTCTCTAAATTGTTGTTGTTTTTGCTCTCAATGATTTCTCTTCTTCCTTGCCTCCTAAGCCGTCTTCTTATCCAATTTTGCCAACTTTTGCTTATTTCCTTCAATTTAATCAATCTATATCACAACATCAAAATACACGTTAAAATGCTCTAAAACTTGTAGAAATTAGTTAAATATCAAATTTAGATGATGTCTAAAATATGAGTGAAA